CCATTTACTTTTTGACCCTAACACATCACTTCTTGGAGTAGAAATGTCTTCAACTAAAAATGTAATGAAATCTCCCATAATTTCTGTAGGTTTGTAATTTTTTTTTGTTTGTTTGTCTGTCTGTTTTTGGTTTTTTGAGACAGGGTTTCTGTGTGTAACAGTTCTGGCCATCCTCGAAGTCACTCTGTAGACCAGGCTGGCCTCGAACTCACAGAAACCCACCTGCCTACTCCTCCCAAGTGTGGGGTTAAAGGTGTGCACTTCCACCACCCAGCAGGTTTGTGGTATTTTTGCCTCTGACATTATTAAAAATTAACTCTGGATTTCGGGGATGTTGTATCTTATAGAGGACACAGGGAACTCTGCATATAATATCAAGAATAAATTCTCGGCCACAATATTTAAAATACAGGAAAAATACTTTGGTATTTTAAGCAACAAACTCAACAACATGGAATGTATATTTCTCAAGTAATGTCAGCAGTCACAATGGACTTCAGTACAAATATATGTGAATACAAGCTCATCTCATGGCTTCTGAATGCCTCCCTCCCCAGCATAGGGCATTCCATACAGATATTTGATTCCTGTTTCAGGCACTAGGGAATGAGAGATGGGGAGAGAGGGGGGGAGGTGGAAGAAAAAGAGGAGGAGGAGAAAGAGACAGGAAGGGGGAAATAAAATGCATGACTTCTCTAACCTTCCGTCTTCCTAAATTCAGAGAATAAGTATTAAATAGTGGGATTGAAGTTTATCCCCCCCCAGCTCTGTAACACTGCAAGCGTACATTCGTGCCACAACTGTACATATTCAGCTCAAAACTCCGGAGTATCTGCCAGCATGGTAAGTGTGCAACTCGTGTTTGCAGTGAATGAAGGAGTAAGTGCGTCCTGCCTACCCTGAAGGGTTGTTCTAAAACATGTCTTCTCATTAGTGTTTGTATTCCTTTTCCCTGCCAAGCATCATATTTGGCCTATTGCCAAATTGTTTTCCTATGCCCAGTAACCACTAGATGGCACAAAAGGAAAAGGCTTTAGGCATTAAGAGGAGGAGGAGGAGGAGGAAGCTGGTAGACATTACAGGAAGATCTACCAGAAAGGCTTGGTCACAGAATGAAGTTTTAGTTTGTCTGCTTTTTGTTTTGGTTTGTGTGTGTGTGTGTGTGTGTGTGTGTGTGTGTGTGTGTGTGTGTGTGTGTAACTTCCATTTTATGTTCATTGGTATTTTGCCTGTATGTATGATGTATGTCTGTATGGGGTTTTCAGAAGCCCTGGAACTGGAGCCACAGGCAGATGTGGGTGCTGGGACTTGAACCTGGGTCCTCTGGAAGAGAAGCCAGTGTTCTTAACCACTGAGCAATCTCTCCAGCCACGGTCCCTAGAAGTTTAAGCAGAGATAGAACAATAGAACAATGAGACAATAAGAACAAGGATAAAAGTCTATGCTGGTAGTATTAAAACCTGAAGCCAAAAGCAATAATCTTAATCAAATATTACAGGACACCAAGTGTAAGGTCAGCAGAACCAGGTGACTAAAGAAGAGAAGCCAGACCAGAGTTATCATCACGATTCAGGGTTATCACCAAAGGAATCTGGAACTGGTGGGGAAACCCCACACAACAAGAGCAGAGTGGTTACATATACTTTGATTTTACATGGACCACACCATAGGGAATTCTCATGTCACTGCCAATTTTAACAAGTATGTATGCATCTGTTTAAAGGTGCCAAAGTGACCCTACATATAGTTCCATTGGAGACACCTGGGCCTTGGGCGTCCAAGTTGACTACACAAGTTAAGAAGTCAGAGCTCAGAGTGGGCAAAAGAACACGATGGACTGGTAAAGACCCCTGCCTTTGACGCCTGGCTTCAGCCTGGGACATTACATGTGACTGACAAATGTGAGAGATCACCCCACTTCCTGGGATCCTGTGCTCACCAAGGAACCTCCTGATTGCAAATGGATTTGTCCGTAGATCTGCCTTCAGTAAGAAGGCAAACCCTGGTCCTTCCAGAGGGAGCCACAGGAACTCAATATATTCACACTCTATTTTTAACAGCTGTCTACTAGGAGCTTGGTAAATGGGAATTGTCTCCAGGAAAGGGCTTTCTCTTGACAAAATTAATTCTCTGAATGTATTGAACAGTTGTTGAACTGTGTATCGAACACATCCTGGAGTATCTTCTGGCAGATATACAAGGTCCATTTGACCATTTCCCTCACCCTCTACTTTCATATTCTCCCCTCCAAATACTAAGCAGACCCAGCCCTGCTTGGCTTCTAAGATTAGATGAGATTGGACATGCCAGAGTTATATGGCCATAGACTTCACTTTCATATTTTATGCTCATCCAAAATAGTTGCTTAGTAAAATACCCATGAAGACTTCCGTTAATGCAAAACTCCAAGACTCAAGTTCCAAAGATCCTCAACAAATTCATCTGGGTTAGATACAGGTGTCTTCGTTAATAAGAAGCCCAGTGGAGTCCACGGATGCTGACACTAAACCTACAGAATACAAGAAACATTCATCCTGAGTCCAGGACCTCAGAGTCAGAGTCTTTTATTTGAGAAAAAGATCTCCAGAGGATTAAGAGTGACCCTCTGAAGCATTCCTGAATTCTTGGGTTCCTGTGGAAGATGGGTACAAATGGGTATGACAGGGAGCTGATCAGTAGAGCTTCATAATACTAAAACAAAACCTCAACCTCAACCTCAACTCTGGATGCATCAGTCTTTAACCAAGAGTATCCAAAGACTGCCATTATCATTCAAGAAATAGCAATTGATGTCCTGTGCAACCAAACATTCATGCCCAAAACCAAGAAAAGGAAATGATTTGTGGGAATGTAATAAAGTAGATTTTTAGCATAGTGACCAAATGCCTCATAGGAGCAGTTTATGGAAGCCTTCATTTTGGCTCATGGACTTGGAGGGTTCAGTGCATCTAGGCAAAGAAGGCATTGCAGAGAGAGAAGGTCGTGTCATAGTCCAAGAAGCAAAGAATGGAGGAATGCTAGCATTGAGCTCCTTTCTCCTTTCCCTCTGTGCAGACTACTAGCCTGTTGGGTGGTACCACCTATATTCAATGTTAATCTTTCCTGGAAATGTTCTCACAGACACCCCTAGATGTGCTTCACTGACCTCCTGTGTGATTATAAATCCAGTCAAGCTAACAATGAAGATTTGCTGCTAGAGAAGCCCAATACAAAATTTTAACTTCATGATAATTTCAAGATGGCAACAGCAGGTCATTCTGAGCATAGAGTCTTGTGCATGTATGTAAATCATAAAATGAAGATGGGTCTGTTAGCACAGTGGGACAGGACTACAAGTGAGATAGGGAAAAATTATAAATAAAAGAAGAGCTTGTTCTAATACATATGTAACCTTCCTTTCAACTTGCCACCAGTGTGATCTCTTAAAAATGCACAACAAGATCAAAATTCCAAAGGGACCCTCCCTCTAGGAGCAAGCCCAAAAGTCACTGATCTCCCATGCTCTTCATTCTTTCTCAATGATCAAGTTACACTCATTTGTTTCCATTCTTCTCATTTTCCAAGCTTCTTTCTTCTCAGGTCTCCTACATACTCTATTTTCTGTGACTAGAAGAACCCTTCCTAACTGTCCTCGCTAGATAAAATTTATCCTCAGGTCATGGGTTAAATATTGCTTCCTTATTGGCCTTTTTAAAATTACATTTTAGTTACCTGTTTATTTTGTAGATGGATGATACATGCCACAGCATGCTCTTGCTCCAGGTAGCCTGAGGACAACTTTTGGAAGTTGGTTTTCTCCCTCAACTATTCAGGTCTTGGGACTCAATTCAGGGGGTTAGGCTTATTGGTAGGCTCCCTTATCTGCTGAGTCATCTAACTGACTCTGTGGAATTCTTTTAACCCATCCTGGGACCTTCTCTTGTTATGTCCCTTATAAATGTATTCCTATGCTTCAGTTTTTAAATTTTAAGCCTTATTTCATTTTTAACTATGTATACGTGTGTGTGCCTAAGTGTGAGTATGTACACACTAGTGCAAGCGCCCTCAGAGCCAGAGGCATTAGATCCCCCTAAACCAGAATTACAGGCAGTTGTGAGTCACTCAGTGTGGGGGTTGGGAACTGAATTCAACTCCTCTGCAAGAGCAGCAAGTGCTCTTAACCACCTTCAGCCCGCCCTATTATCCTTAAGTGGTGATTTATGCAGCCAATTGTTTAACATCTATCTCTCTGCAGGACTCTCTTACCTTTACCACAGCCCCACAGATGTTTGACGAAGAGCATGAACAATAGGAGATATTTGAGAGGATATTTAGATTAATGAGTGAAACGAGAAAAATAAAGGATGGTGAATACCTCAGTTCCTGTTCTATTTCTGTGACAAACACCACGAGCAAGGCAACTTATAAAACGAAGCATTTAATTGGGCTGACCATTTCAGGGGTTTAGAGTCTGTAATGGTTTAAAGGCATGGCGGCAGGAACAACTGAGAGTTCACATCCTGAGCCACAGGCAAGGGGCAGACAGAGGCACACTTGAGACTTTTGACATTTCTAAGCTCATTCCCAGTACCTTTTCCAACAAAGCCATACCTCCTAATCCTTCACAAACCTCTCCACCAAATGGAGACCAAGTATTCAAACACAGGAGCCTGTGGGAGCCATTCTTACTCAAACTACCACAGTGAATTTACCAGGTGTTGGTACATTCCTCCCGAGTAAAAGTGCTTATCCAAACCCCAAAGGCCTGGCACCCCAAATCACTCCACATTTGACATCAACCATCCATTAGGTGAAGGCTAACAATGCTACCCTACTTCGTGGACTCTCAGAGAAATTCAGGTTTGTGACTGTTGTCTTGATGTGTGTTCATTAGCAGCAGTTGTGTTCAAGTAGCTCTCCCACTCCCTCTCCCTCCTGCCCTTCTCCAGTGTCGGTGGCTGTGGTATTAACAGAAAGAGCTTAAGTTATTAAACTGAGCAGCTCTAATCCCCGAGGTTTCCTGTTGCAGAGGGGATTATTATATTTTTATTCCAGAGTCAATGTAGCCTTTGTATTTTTTCCCTGCAATGCCCAAGCTGACCCCAAATGCATTTCTCTAGACACATTTCCCCACCGTGGAAGAGGTGATGGAGTTTTACCTGGAGATCGACCCTGTCACCCTGAACCTCATCATCCTAGTTGCAAGCTACATCATCTTACTGTTGGTGTTCCTCATCTCCTGCGTGCTGTATGACTGCCGAGGCAAAGATCCCAGCAAAGAGTATGCACCCGAGACCACACTGAATGCCCAGCCTTCCATCCGAGTGGTGGTGACACAGCACAGCGCTCATGGATCATGGACCAGGGGACCCAGCCTTCACTTTAAGGATCCTGCACCACTAGGGAAGAAAAGCACTGTGGTATGAGTCTGGATAAGGGACGTTGGGGAGAGACCAACAAATGCAACAGAAAACAGCTGTCCCTGTTGTGGCTCTAGTTCTCCCCCAATGCAGATCCTGACTAGATGACGAAACCAAGGCTCTGTCCTACTGTCTGCTTCTGGTCAATCCCTTGGTGAACAAAGCAACTGTTTAAGGTAAGATGGCCCAGTGGTCTCTTGCTGTGCTCTCCAAATGCAAGATCTCAGAGATACCATTTTATAGTGAGGCTGGTTACTCATACCTTTGTGCTAGGAGGGGCTGACTTTGCATAGGCTTTGAAAGACGTGAGGATGTAATAAATAATGAAACTAATTCAAGTCTATACCTTATAACTTGATTATTCTCAAGTGATCACATTTATGCACCCAGACTTCAGGTTATTATTTTGTATATAATAGCTCATCACATTCCATTCCCTCTCCAATCACAAGCTGTGTGACCAAGATTGGGTTGAGTTACCTCTTCATACCTCAGGCCTAACTTGAAATTTTCAGTTTCCAATGAGTCCGTTCACTAAAACTACTTGAGACAGTGCTTGGCAATTAGTCTTGCTGTGATGAATGCTGGTTTTATTCCTGTCTACTTCTCATCAGAAAGGTTGATCTCTGGGAACTGGAGAGATAGCTCAGTCAGTAAAGCGCTAACCACAAGAGCATGAGGACCTGAGTTCGGATCCCAAGTACTGACACAAAACAAATGGGTGTAGTGGTGCGTGCCTGTAATCCCAGAGACAGCTGGGTCCCTGGAACATGGCAATCATCTGGTGTAGCTGATTCAGTGAGCTCCAGGCTCAGTGAGAGACCCTATCTCAAAATATAAAATGGAGAAAAGTGGAAGATACCTAACCTCTGACACATACGTGCACTATGCATGTATACATACCCACACATGCACAAATACACACACACACACACACACACACACACACACACACACACACACGAACACAAAACATTTTACCTTTAGTCTTCAAGAATGACCTGATTTAATACAAACCTATTGCAGATTCATTAAAAAGGAAAAAAGTCTGAGGTCTTAAAGCTTTGTGTTTTACTCCCTGGAAGAGAACCCACAACATTCCTGATCTTTCCATAGTTGCTGTTGACTAATAGTTTTTTTTCTGCTGCTTATTCTCTCACCTCTGTCTACAAGCCTGCATCATTATCTCCATTGTACATGTTTGTTTCATGCCTCCCTCCCGTACAGGTCTGCTTCATGATTTACTGAATCTTTTTTCCTGTGAGGACCTGTGTGGTGTGCCATGAGCCCCTGCCCTCCGACCTTTGCTACCTAACGGGAAAAAGAGTCTCCCATGACCCAGACAGTAGATGGAAACAGCATTTGTGTTTGCTCTCCATGGTCTGTATAGGCTGTCTGAATGGAGATGCATTTGCTCACTGTTGATTGGCCAGGCTCATCAACAGGTCCTCAACAAGAAGGTGACTCAACTTGTTAAGATAAATGGCTTTTTTCCCTGCGGAGCGAAAGTGTTAGGAATACAGGAGGTAACGTTTTTTGAGTATAAAGAATGGCAAAAACAAAGCTTAGAAGCAAAAACTTATAGAAGCCATCGATTGTGGAAGTCTGGTGTCTTCCAAAACTATGAAAAAAAATGAGAAACTGAATTATAGTTTCTATGAGGGAAGAACAGAGGAAAGTCCAGCCCCAGATACCTGCCAGCTTTAACTCCTAGTCCTATTCAGTCTTTACATTGTTAAAGTAGCTGTAGCAAATAGGAAGACAGATTTGTTCCCTTACATACACAATTTGAAAATGATGTTGAAAACATATGGAAGGATTTTTCTGATATATGGTCAAATAGCAATATCTGCTCTTAAAATGAAAATGTAAAATGTAACTGTATAGGATAAAAAATTCACATACTCTTTCTAAAAATTTCTCTTTTTATACTAATGTCATTTATTTACCCTGTGTCAGTGGATGCAAAATATATCACTGGAGGAAAAGTCAATGAGCCATCAAAAATTAATGTTAGTAATGTTAATTAATTTAGCTTTTGATGGACATAAATGTTCAACTCATCTAATAAGAGTATCAAGAACATTCTTAATTAAAAATATGAAATAAGCTGGGTGGTGGTGGTGGTGCACGCCTTTAATCCCAGCACTCAGGAGGCAGAGGCAGGTGGATCTCTGTGAGTTTCAGACCAGCCTGGTTTCCAAGAGCTAGTTCCAGGACAGCCTCAAAAGCCACAAAGAAACCCTGTCTCAAAAAACAAAACAAACAAACAAAAAAAAACACATTCGCTTAAAAAGGTTACATAAAATACTAGGTAGTTACATTTCAATTTCATATTTGGGCCAATTCAAGAAGGAAAAAGTAGGGGCTGGAGAGATAATTCAGGAGTTATAGGTGCTTGCTGCTCTTAGAACCAGAGTTGTGTTGGGTGACTTACAAATGCTCGTGACTCCAGTTGCAGAAAATCTGACACTTTACTATAACCACAGAGGGCATTTCACACACACACACACACACACACACACACATACACCACACACATAAACAACAAATCCCTTTTTTAAAGGGAAATTAACAGGGAATTAAAGGGAAAAGAACATCATCATAAGAAAAAAACAAAAGTCAAATAACATTGAAAATAGTAATAATAACTACCAGAATGAAAGGAATAAAGACAGAGAGAGAAAAAGGAAACCAGGAGACAAACTACATTGAGCTAAGGCTGGAATAGGTAGTAGGGAACTATTCTAAACCTCCCCAGATCATATTATTTGCAGTTTATTCAATTTGTGTTCTCCAAACAGGAACTAATTTCAGAATTAAATATAATATATATATATATTATTCTGTATAGTACATACTCAGAATTTTATGACAAGTACATATCTTATAAGCCTCTTGTTGATATCCTGGTCTGTTTCTGTGACTATAACTAAGTGCTACAGATCTCCTGATTTATAAAGACAGCAGGGTCACTCGACTCATGATCCTGCAGATTGGGAAGTCCAAGAGCACGATTCTAGCAGCTGGTCAACATCTTGTGCCATTTTATAACACGGCAGAGGACGTTGTCTGAAGCAAGAATGCTAGCCCTGGTCTCTTTTCTTTTTTCCTTCTTTCTTTTTTACATTATTCTTCTTCTTTTTTAGTTTTTTATTTAAATTAGAAACAAGGTTGCTTCACATGTCAATCCCAGCTCCCTCTCCCTCTCTTCCTCCCATGCTCCGTAACCAAACTTCCCAACCCCCCCACCCAATCCCCACTCTGTTCCCCAGGGAGGGTGAGGCCCTCCATGGGAAATATCCAGAGTCTGTCATTTCGTTCAAGGCAGGGCCTAGGCCCTCCCGCAAGAGTACAGGCTGAGAGAGTATCCCTCATTATGGGATGGGCACCCAAAGTCCATTTGTATGCCAGAGAGGGATAAATACTGATCTACTACCCAAGGTCCCATAGATTGCCTAGGTCTCCTCACTGACACCCACATTCAGGGGATCTGGATAAGTCCCATGCTGGATTCCCAATCATCAGTCCAAGAGCTCCCCCTTGTTCAGGTCAGCTGTTCATGTGGGTTAAATAGGCCTGGTCTTGACCCCTTTGCTCATCAATCCTCCCTCTCTGTCACTGGGTTCCAGGAGTTCAGTTCAGTGTTTAGCTGTGGGTTTCTGCCTCTGCTTCCATCAGTCAGGTTCTAGGATGGCATATAAGGAAGTAGTCAAACTCATCATCAGGGAGGGGCATTTAAGGTAGTCTCTCCACTATTGCTTAGTTTGCCAGTTGGTGTCTGTCATCCTTGTAGATCTCTGGAAATTTCACAAGTGCCAGATCTCTCCTCAAACCTATAATGACTCCCTCTATGATGGTATCTCTCGTCTGTTTTCTTTTTTCTTTAAAGCAATCTAACTTTAGTTTATTAGATTGCCTGTTAGATTGCATCACAATACTGTTCGTTTTGATTGCTAACAGCACTGACCTGAGAAGCTCCTATGAACATGTTCAGAGCTCACAATGACCAAAACCCACCACAAATAACTTCATGCAAAATACTGAAACAAACAAAACCTAGTTTCAAGTATCCATGTGTCATGATACCCACATGTGTTTCATGAAGCCACTGGCGCTATGATATGCATGCCCACTCTCAGCTAACCCTCAAGCCCTACCCAAAGGTCGGGTCTCCACATACCATTAACATGTAAGTTCAGAGAGTAATTTCCAACACATGAACTTGTGTGTATATGCCCCCACACACACACTCACGCAAACTGTGCTCAAACCACAGCGGTCAGGAAGGAAGCCAAGAAAGTGCAGAGCTGGACCTTTTATCTATCTCAACCTCCATGCTCTTTCTAGAACACTGTCTCTCCACCTGCTTGCACTTCAAATCCTAGAAAATAATTTTTTAGCTACTCTTTATTTTTGCTTTCAGTGAATAGTGTTTTGCCTACATGTATGTATGTATGTATGTATGTATGTATGTATGTATGTATGTATGTATGCATGCACACCATATGTACACAGTGCCCACAGAGGCCGGAACGGGGAGTTGGATTCCCAGGGCCTGTAGTTACAGATGGTTGTGAATCACCATATGGATGCTGGGAGTTGAACCTGGGTCCTCTGGAAGAGCAGCCAGCATTCTTAACCACTGAACCGTCTCTCCAGCCTCACTGCTTCTTATTTTTAATTAAAGTTATTTCCTAGTGGAACTAGTTTCACAACTGTGAGGCTCTTAGGTTTTATAAATTAACCACTGAAGCCCAGTGGGATAGATTGCCAACCAGAAGAAACATTCGGTTCCTCTGACCTTCAAATACCATCTTATTTTTGTTTCCTTGGGGATTAGCACTCCCTTGGTTCACATTATTTTAATTTGTTGCTTTGCCATCATGCACAATCACTGTTAAAGCAAACACAATATGTTGCCTAATTTGGCCACAGCAACAGCTGTGGGAGACAGGCACGTAAAACACCTGGTGGGCAGCAGAAAAGGAGAGGAAGAATAGGGGTTTTCAAGAACCTCAGTAGATGCTAGGTATTTTTTTTAATTCATGGTGTCATTTAATTCTCACACTCTTACATGAGAGCGACCAAAGAAGGGGTTTAAATTTAATGACATGTGACTCAAAGAATAGATACAGCTTCAGCAAGGTCACCCAGTAGCTAGCACACTCAGCAG